GGCAAGCACCCACACCCTATAACAAAAAAAAAAAAAAAAACTCTCTCTAAAAAATATTTTTTTTAAAAAGGAGTATGCATTCTGATAATTCAAAAAAATGTTTTTAAATAATGATTTTATTTAACTTTATTTCTTTATTTATTTCAATTTGACCATAGAGGAGGAGAGAGAGAGAAAGTGAGAAAGTAAGCCACCAGGTCCAGCACTCAAACCACAGGCAGCCATGTGGGAGTCCAGCACCCTTAATCACCACACCACCTGCCAGTCCCTGATAATTCAAAATTAAATTTTACGAATTTTAATTTTTCCTTATGCCTTAAATAATTTTCCCACCATCAAGTATAAAAGTGTATAATATTCTAAATTCTTCATCCTCTGAAATGAGAGTAGTACATACTATCCATAGTCATAGGAAAGTTATTTTCATTAATGACATATACTGACCCATTTAAAATGGACTAATTTCTATTTTTTTCCTTTTTTTTGAAGAGGTTTTTGCTATAGGGCGTGTGCGCTCGCAAGAAAGAGAGAGACAGAGAGATAGAAAGTGAGAAATCACTCCCCAGGGGGATGGCCACGCCGCAATCCCTTCTCCTCCATTCTCCTCTTGGGATCTTGGGCACGTGCGCACAAGTGCCCGGCATGAGTTTAAGCCACTGGGTCCAGGACATGAACCGCAGTCGACTACACGGGAGTCGAGCGACATAGCCATTACTCTGATTGCTGGTCCCAAATGGCCTTATTTCTCACCCTAGTAGTGTCAGTGCACAGGTACAAACGCCGACTAGACTTGCTGGCACGGAGAACACTCACCTCTTTCCTTTTGCTTGCCACCATCTTCTTATTTGATCTCTGGATGCTTCCAGTTCCAAAATAATCAAGCACTGACGTGGGTGTAAGCTTTATTGGTGATAAAGGCTTATTCTTCATCTTAGTGTTTTCTTCGTTCTTCTTCATGTTGGATGCTCCAAGATAACTATTCGTAGATCTTCCATTTTCTTTTGCTTTAGAGGCTGCCTTCTTACGTATAAAGTCATCTTCTTCATCTTAAATGAAATACATCAAATATTTTTGATAACAGAGCAATTCTAATTAAATAAAGCGATCACTTTGATCAGCGTTATAACAAGGACACGAGAACTTTGGAACGGTAACAATTTGTCTTCTTCTCGTCTCCCAGATTCAGCAGTCGCCCCACAGTTCAGCGCCAGGGTCCTCGCACACTATTTCTCCTCAGTTACTCCCCAGAGGACAGACAGCTACTGAGCATCCAGTGTGTTCCAGGCACTGAGGACGCAGCTGTAAACAACAAGTCAAAATCCCTACATTCATGGAATTTGAACTCTAAAGGAGGAAACAGATACATGAACAGGCAAATATATATATGATCAAATGATATGTGCTACGGGGCCAGCAGATGGTATAATGGTTATATCACTGGACTCCCACATAGGTGACTATGGTTCAAGACCCAGACCCCACAGCTGGGCACGTGTGTGCCCAGAATCCCGAGAGGAGATGGAGGAAAAAGAGAAAAGAGAAAATGCCCTTACAGTACTGTACTATATTTGGCCATGCCCTCAGCTGTGTCATCTGCTGACAACATGAATCTCCTGTTAATATTTGTACTGGCTCACACAGTACAAAAGGCTGCTGCTGTTACACGTACCACCAACACTAGACATCAAAACGTAAAGACGGGGCTGGCTCTGGAGCACAATGGCTAAACACCGTGTGCAGGGAGACAGACCCCACATGAGATTGAAAACCATACCAGGCATGTGTGCAAGCAATTCCCAAATGAAAACGTTCTGCCATCTTGCCCTGATAAACCAGGCTATGCCATCTCCAGACTATGACTTAGAAACTAATTACCTTTTTGGGTTTTTTTTTTTTTTTTGAAGAGTTTTTTGCCATGGGGCACATGTGCTCACCAGAGAGACAAGAAAGAGAGAGAGAAAGTGAGAAATCACCCCTCACTCTGGGGGTGAGGGGGCCAACCACACTGCATATCCCTCCTCCTCCATTCTCTTCTTGAGATTTTGGGCACACACGAAAACGCACTTGGCATGACTTTTAAGCTACCAGGTCCAGGTCTCAAACCAAGGCTGACTACACACGCGGGAGTCCAGCAATGTAACCATTATGTCATCTGCTGGCCCCCTAAACTAGTTGTCTTGAAGCCCTTTTCAGTTCTTTTTTTTTTTAAAGCCTTGATTTTTTTTAATAATTATTTAATTTCATTTATTCATTCATTTATTTTTTAATTTAACCAGAGAGAGACAGTGGTTGAAAGTGAGAGAGAGAGGAAGTGAGAAAGCAAGCCACTGGTCCAGGACTCGAACCCTGGTCGGCCATGTGGGAGTGTCAAGTGCCTTAACCACTACGCCACCTGCTGGTCCCCCCCTTTTCAGTTTTTAATATTTCAAAGGTGACCCCAGTATATTATGGCAAAAGAGGCAAGGATGCAGCTAGCTGCTTGCAAAAGACAGTCACTTCCCAGGTAGAGCTGTGACCACCCGGACATGAACCAAGCACTTGCAATGCACCACAATGTGAAGAGATGAAACATTTCAAAACTGTAGTGGTTTCTCTTTAACATTTGTTGTTTTCTCATAAGCCTCCATTTGTTTCTGCCTTGTCAGAAGCCAAAGGCAAACTGCGTTCTCTTCTCTCCAAAAACTTATAACAAAATAATGATAAAAAGATCCAGGTCGAATTTCTGAGAACCAGTTAAAAGTCATGGGCGATGGAACACTGAGCACTTCCCCCGGGATATCTGTCCCCTTATAAAACCCCATTTATTTTTATTTATAAACAACCTAACCTCGAATGCGGTGACAGCCACCAAGTAACCCAGCATTATCCAACACACACAGCAGAGGAATTGCTCGCAAGAGAAGATTGCTTGCCACTGTGAGTTAGGTACGTTCATTTATTTAGAAGGCTAACAAATAAACGAGAAGGAAAATGTGCAGGTCCAAATAAAAATCCATTTACATGCCAAGAAGGAAAAGAAACCTAATTGTAGAGCTCAACCTGCTGAGAGTTGGGCCTTCCCAAACAGATCTCTTAATATCCTAATTTGTCATTTTCACTCCCAATGACTTGAACACACATAAAATAAATTAATGGAGAGATCTAGTTACGCAGATTAACAGTAATTTATACATCAACAAATCAAAAACTAAAAAGTGAATCAGAGTGTTTAAAGCCTTGTTCTATAAAGTTCCTTTACAATACTTCCTTGAGTCAAAAACCAAACTCAATTTGGAGGAACAGAAAAATTTCAAGTATGTGGAAAGTCTGCGATAATTTCTTTTTTTAAATTCCGAGAGAGAGAGAGAAAGTACCCCTCACTAGGCTGTACCTTTTTTTTCACTTCCGTCCTGTCATGATCTGGGCATGCATGCACACATGCCCAAAGTGTTTTTTCAAAGCCACAGGGGCTAGAATTCAAACCATGGGCAGCCACACAGGATCGGGTTCCAAACGCACAGTGCTTACCCACAGCACTAAGGGGCCAGCCCTCAATAAATATTTTAAGAAGATGGAAGCAGGACCAGCAGATGGCATAATAGTTACATTGCTGGGCTCCCAGAGAGTTGACAGTGGTTTGAGTCCCGGACACGGTGGCTTAAAACTCATACCAGGCACATGTGCGTGAGTGTTCAAAATCCCAAGAGACGAGTGGAGAAGGGGTTGAGGCGTGGCCATCCCCCGGGGGGTGGGGGGGTGACTCCTTGATTTGTCTCTCTGTCTGTCTCTCCAGTGAGCACATGCAGCCTATAGCAAAAATCTCTCTTAAAAAGAAAAAGATGGAGGAAGGGCAAGCAGGTAGCATGGTGATTGGTGCGCTGGGTTCCCACACGACCAACTGCAGTTTGAGTCTAAGACCCAGCAGCTTAAAAAACACAACAAATAAATAGATAAGTAAATGTTTAAAAAAGGAGGAGGGGGAGGAAGAGAAACTAAATATACCTTCTTTACATGGTAAATCAGATCTTCTACACCTACTGGTATAATAAAATAAATCTAGTGCTCATCCTTAATCAAGCAACCAGAGATCCTATGATTCGTTACCAAGAAATCCTCTTGGAACCAAATGGAGTCGGAGCCAACAGGTGGCATGGTGACTAAGGAGCTGGACTCCCACGTGGCTGACTGCCGTTTGAATCCTGGACCTGGGGGCTTGCTTTCTCACTTTCTCTCTCTCTCTCCCTCTCTCTCTTTCCTCTCTCTCTCTCTGGTAAGCACATGTGCCCTATAGCAAATTTAAAAATAATGGTAATAATAATAATAATAATAATAAAGTTAAATCTTTAAAAAAAAAAAAAAGAATCCAATGGAGTCAGTTGCATTTGTAAAATAAAGCTATTAAATCTGTGGGTCGCATAAGGTAGTTGGATAATGATTAATAAGAGAACAAAGCACTAGATTGAAATATGATGTTACTCACCACACAGGACCCAAAGGAAAGAAGAGGTTGGGGCTAGGCTTGGACCACTGGCACAGGGACATTACCCAGAGCTGCTTATACTTCTAAGGCGTAAACCAGGCTGGCTAGCGTTATGGGAGTAGCCTGCAATGCAATTCCCCACCTCCATTCACACACCTCTTCCCCGAACGTGCAAGCAGGGGCAGCGCTGGCCTCCGTATTAAAGGCCAGTACTAGCCCCTGTACATTATTTCGGTAGTGCTTAATGGCATTTTCCTAACACATCAGCTTCCTTGGCATTCCAGAGTACAGGCCCCAGTCACTCAGGTAGTTTCACAAGGAGCTGAGATCAAAGTACACGGCACAAGAACAAACAAGCCTATTCATGTTCAAAGACGCTTCAGAACCTCTCTGACCATTCCAGATCCTCCAGGACTTCACTCGTCACTGTCTCCGCTGTCAATTCTCTTCCCTCTCCACGTGCCACTTAATTTTTTTCAGGTCTGACCATATGCACTGATGAAAGAAGACGGGAGAACAGATGGGCAAGAGGAAATACAAGCAAGCCCTAGCTCACATAGACAGGTGAATTTGCAGATAAAATGGCTAACGCGTTATCAGTAACCTTGGAATCACCATTCAATCATCTTTAGAAGTCCCTAAACATTAAAGAGAAGAAAGGAAAATAGAACCTTGGAACTACAGAAGAGGGAAGATTGAGAGACGACGCCGTGCAGTAACATCACAGGCGATCAAAGAAGCGTCTGGGGTCCGGCAGAAGTACACAGTGACGCTCAGAACAAATGGGGGCCTGAGCCTTCGTTTACTCTTGAATCACTAGACTCGAAGCAGATGAGGTGAACACTAACAAGGTACATCTGGACTTAAGCAAAATAGCACGAGATTTTCTTCTGCTTCAGCAGGGTTTCGAACCTCTGCACTGTTGCATTTTTAAGCCAACTAACTACTATGGGAGTCCTCTTGTGCATTTGGAGATGTTTAATGGCATCCCTGGCCTCTATAATTGGGTGTTATAGCAACCCCTCCCCAGTTGTGACAACCAAAAATGTCTCCAGAAATGGCCAAAGGGCCCCCTGGGAGGCAGAGTCACCCTTGGTTGAGAAGTAATGATTCGTGGCAAGATGAAAAGATACAAGAAAACAGTGGCTACTAAAATTTATAATTGAACATTTACTCATGAGAAGCTGAATAGCAAGGGTCAGCAGGTGGTGTAGTCATTAAGGTGCTGGATTCCCACATGGCTGACCACGGTTCAAGTCCCAGACCTGACAGTTTGAAAATCATGTTGGGGGCCAGTAGGTGGCATGGTGTTAAGGCACTAGACTTGCACATGGCCAACCGCAATTCGAGTCATGGACCCAGAGACTTGAAATTCACACTGGGCACATGCGTGTGGAGGCCCGAAATCCCGAGGAGAATGGAGAAGGAATTGCACCATGGCCATCCCCCTGAGAGGTGATTTCACTCTCTCTCTCTGTCTTTCCAGCAAGTGCACACGCCCTATAGCAAAAAAAAAAAAAAACTTTTCAAAAAAGAAAATCACATGGAGGGAGAGGGTGTGCATGCATGCCCCAAATTCCAAGAGAA